TTAGCCCAATACCAAATGCTTGACTTACGCTGATGTAAGCTGAACACGTGCAGCATACATCGTGAGGAAAACTGCATATTTTAGAAATAACAAAAAACATCCCATTCTAAAACGTCTTTTTTTTATGTGAAAAGTTGCCAAACGAGCAGACGGTTCACCCGATGTTAAGTGAATACCGCCGCCCATGGACATCTGCTACACCCGAGTGTTACAGATGACAACCTTTTCGGAAAGTGGGCTCCGGCTGCCTCACTCACCAGACGAAACGTGAAAGTATTTGTCATACTTCCACTTTACGCTGGTCTTCTGTGAGGTCCCGGACGGGCCTGCCCATTCGGGCAACAGCCGAGGCTGCTGCGTGGCATAAATATATATACAGATAAACTCTCTCTGAACAGAGGAAGGAGGATTTTGCCTATCATTGCGACAAGGCAAGTTACTTTACTTTTTTTACTAAAAAAATGACTAACAAATAATATATCAGCCACAATTTTTTTAACATGCGAATCATAAAACAAAGCTTGGCGTGGGCTGTGTACGTGTTTGCGCTTACGCGTACGAGGCTTTTAAACTAATGTTATATGCCGCACGCAAACAAACATCTGTTCCAACAATTTATTAACCTAATTAAGTCTCTATAGTGCGGAAGCGGGCGCTTCATAGCAGACGACGTTGCATCTTTAATTTCATGATTATGAATGTCTTGCGACATGCATTTTCTAATTAAATTGGTGAGAAAAATTTGCTTTTTTTTTGGAATTCTACTATTGTAGAGTTAGTAAACAACAAGTAAGTAGCTCGTCTGCCCGCCTGTACTGTACACGCCTGTAATGTCACATGTGTGGATCAATCCGTCCGTTTTGCCATCAGCGAAAGTGCTAGCTTAGACAATAATAACAAGATATCGTTTTCCAAATATCTACACTTCTTTTTACTTTACACGAGGTTTTCATTCTGTCAAGTTTTGGTACTCCAAGCTCGGGGAAAAGAGAACAGCTCTGTTCCAATAGCTTCAGCGAAACATTGTTCTGGAACTCCGAAAGTTTACATACAGAAATCATGTTCCACGAATATTTTGCGTAAAGCCAGCCATTATATACTGTATGTTTTTATATATTATCGACCGCGTAGTTTGTCGTCGATAACAGATAGTTCCCAATTATGGGACACTCACGCCGTTTTATCTAATCAAGAAATTACAACAACGTGATTGTATGGTCATCAGAGGACTTCTTGAGAACCCCGTGCCACAAAGAAAGGACTCACACCCTAGGGTGACCGAGTCTATCGATATCCGCCCTCCAAAGAGAGCGTGATGAGGGTGTGCACATCTGTCGAATGTTCTAAATGCTGAAGCATATAATGTTAGGTAAGAATTTAATGCTCACTGGGTTTGGTTGAATATAACTTTAACGATTTAGGTGTTTAAAATTGCTTTTCGAATGTAGAAAATTTCATTACTACCGATTGTAATAATTATAGTTCCTTGTTGACGGCTTCCCTCTTAATTTACGTGTGTTATAAAGCTTCATCAATCGGGACCGGAGGAAATGGCAGCAACAAGAAAGTTTATTTTTGAACGGGATGTTTAACGATAGCTCTTGTTAATTGATTAAAAAAAAAACAAATACCTACGTTCTTTCAGATGTTACGAAATTAAAGGGGGAATGACTTCACTGATATAGTTCGCGCCGAATATAAATTAAATGTACCTTCAATGGATACGCTTTCCAATTTAGGTTTTTAATCCCGTAGTATGGCAGTGCCGCGCTAGCTTCCGTTGCGACATGAATCGTCCGCGGAATTACTACAACCTCACAAAATAATGGAGCGGAATTGAATTATTTTAAATACTACGTTTTTTTTTTTCTATGCGAGAAGGTGGCATGCGAGCTGGCGATTCACCTGATGTTAAGTGATAACCGCCGCCCATTGCGTCGCCACCTCATAATAAAGTCAGTTCTGGCTGACCAGGCGAAACGCAAAAGTAAAGCATTTCACATTCCCATTCGTGTAACAGCGAATAATGTTGCATGGCCCTACCACATTTAAAAACGTTTACGGTGAGGTAGCGTGGACCTACTCTTTCGATAGTTGGCAATGCAATTGCTACCCCACAGACGTTGTGGGTATTTACGAGCGGCGGTAACCATTTAACATCTGTCATCACATGTTTGTCAACTTCATCCTAACATAAAATATATAAAAAAGAGCGATATATGTAACAGATGATCAAAGAAGGTTAATATATTAACTCTTTTTTTGATTTCCATAAAAATGGAAATGAAAATACGTTCAAATCAGTATAAAATAGCAGTTTTTAAGCGCAAAGGGTACCTCTATGTAATAATGATCTTTGTAAAAATGATCAACATGAACAAAAACTACACAACTTTTACTTATAACTTAACTAATAGTGTATTTGCGTACAGCCTGTAGTTTAAAGATAATGCAAATGATACTTTGAAAACAGGATTAAGACGATATGATGGGTTAGAACATAACCCACCCTAAGCCCATTACGGCATCGTAACAAGAAATCCATACCCCTTTTCCGCGCGCGGAAGTAACGGCTAATGTGTCTTTTTAAAAGTAAATACGCCAAATTATATGCAAAAAACAATAACGAAACACTGGTATAAATATCTGGTTTCTATGTTTAAAAGAAAACTAAAAGCTTTCGAGAAAAAATTCAATAAAATCCTCAAAAACTGATAGTAGATAAACGCATTGCTTCCTTCATCATGCTTATTATACTCCAGTCGTGACAGGTCTTGTCATTGGGAAATAAATCCATCTTCCACAAGCCAGGTAACAACAAGAGGAAGTAGTTTTTCCATTCAAAAAATCTGCTAAAACGGATAACTATTGAGTGAGGTCACTAACAGAAGGCAGAGCTAATTGAAAAATTATTGGTATGCTAGAAAAAATTGTATGCAAAACAATTTTTTCTAAAAAAATGATTTAAAACACAGCATACTTTATTTAAGATTTAGAGGTTATTTTTTGTACATTGATTAAGATAAAACTATATATTTCAATGATAAATATTAATAAAGAAGTGATGTAGGAAAAGTCACTCCCTAAAACAAACCTTGTGGCCATATGACCAACAGATTAGTAGTAGGTGCACAGCGAATTATCAGCCCTTAGTATTATTTTCAACCAACTACAAAAAAAGGAGGTTCTCAATTCAATTTTATGTAAGTTGCTTCAAAACTCCGTCTTATATGAACCAATTTAAAGTTTATTTTTGTATTGGGTTCAGTTTAGCTCATATTAATTTCATTTGTATTTACTATGGAGTTAAATCAGGGAACTTATTAAAATCAAATAGATAGTTTATAGAGAGTGAGATATTTGAAGTTGGTTTAGTTTTCTGTTACTAAAAATGTTTTAATTATAATGGCACTCTATATAAAAATCTATGATAATAATGGACTAAATTACATTCAAAATGAGTCACAGATCCGACATAGAGCACCCCGACTCCATGTGGTCTTGTGGTCCCTACCCCTAGAGTGAACATAAAAAGGCGGAGCCAGAACCTCGCGTCGGAGGTCCTGAGTGGCTTATTTTTTAATAAAAATTAATTTCAATCGGAATGAAATCGTTCAGTACTTTTTAATTTTTTGTTTTATCATGAATTCTTATAAAAAAAATTGAATGTTTTAAGTGTGGACAAGACAGTTTTATGGAAGGTTTTTAAATGTGAAAATGTTGACAATAGTAAAATGGTGGATTGTCTTAGTAGAAACAACAAGATTTAATTACGTTTTTTCTCGAAAACTAGAGGTGACTACTGAATTCTACTTGTTGATTAATTCGTAAGTGATATGTCTCTATAGTTCTCTATCGTTTAAATTTTTCTTTTGTTTGCAATATAAAAGTAGTGGGCTGCTGAAATTTTACCGAAATTGGCACCCCCTATTGCGTTTTCATAAATCATGGGGTGGTTCACCCTGCGATTGCACGTATGATCCCTCTCACATGTAATTAAAATTTTATCAATAAATATTGTAGTCGGCTTAAACATGACTTAATAAACAATTGAAAAGTTATTATAACAATAGCCAAGCGAAAAAATAAATAAGACTTACCTTAAAATCACAAGTAACGAAGCTTAGAGCAACCAAATAGCTTAGACCGGGGCCAAATCCTTGCACAACCACAGAACTCAAATTGTATAGAAAATAAAACTACACAACACAAGCAGTTAACTTTAATGTGAACTAAATTAAATGATCAATTAATATCACGAATAAATTGTGTTAGAATGTAGCTTAAAGTCAGTCACTAAAAAGGAAATTTCAAGCATTTCCCTATCAAAGAATGCGCACTTGTTTGACACGACCTCCACTTAAAAAATCTTTACAAAACTGAAAAACATTCTAGGCGGCGCTACTATCACAGTTTGGCGCACGCGCTGTCAAATAACAATTCCTATCGTCCCGCAAAATTAAGAGTTAGATACTTGCAGATTGAGCTGCTCTGTATTAGACCTTCTTCCTGACGCAATATTTTCCCTTTGCATTATCTGCAATAAATGACGAGCGATATATATACCAACTATCGTTAATCATCAATAATGACTAAAATGTGTTTCTACAACCATAATACTTTAACTTATCTTATCTTCAAATCCGGGTTATAAAGACATCTCCAATTTACAATGTTTGTTTAAATCTCCAATTTTTAATGAGCTACCCAATTGTCATTACTGGAACAATAATAATAAATAATGTGAGAAATATAATCAATAAATAACCCATCGACGTGATGTTTTTAAATTGTTTAGTCTTTTATTTAAGCTAAATGTTGGTTGTTGGTATGGAGAAATCTGAAAAAGTTAAACTTAAACGTCAGTTCTTGTCAGTTGTCAATGTCATTGTCACTTGCTATATTACATGATTGGTAATTTTTGGTAAATATTGTTGACTGTTCACTGTTGACTGTTGTATTTTTTTTTTTTTTCAATTTTCACTCACTATCCATTTAAAATGCTGGAATCTGTAAAATGTATAATTTTGGTACTGTCGGGAAAAGGTGGTGTTGGAAAATCAACTGTTAGTACCCAATTGGCTCTAACTCTTAAAGAAAAGGGATTTAAGGTTAGTTTTTATGTTATCATTAAAGATAAGTTACTTGAATAGGCCGGTATTAATTAGCTTGATCATGATTATATCCACCTATCTTCGTAGTTACGAATAATAATAGGTACGGTTAAAAATCAAATTTAAAAAAATAGTAATACAATTATTTTAGGTTGGTCTACTGGATATTGATTTATGCGGACCAAGTGTGCCGTATATTTTAAATTTAGAAGGCGAAAGTATTCACCAAGGAGCTGCAGGATGGGTCCCAGTATATTTAGACAAGGAGCAACGATTAGGTGTAATGTCCATTGGTTTTCTTTTGAAGTCTCGTAATGATGCCATTGTTTGGAGAGGACCCAAGAAAACCGCAATGATTAAACAATTTCTTGAAGATGTGGATTGGCAAGAACTTGATTTCCTAGTAATTGACACACCTCCAGGTAGGAAATTGTTTTAAAAATCTATTTTCTGATGAAATGTAATTGTTACTACATATTTTTGTGTATTTTTGAATGCTTATATTTACTGTATTTTATTGCTTTACACATTATAGGAACTTCAGATGAACACATTGCGGTAATGGAAAATCTACGTCAAGCCCCTCAGTGCTCAGCAATTTTGGTAACCACACCACAGGAAGTAGCCATAGAGGATGTTAGAAAAGAGATAACATTCTGTCATAAAACAAAAATTCCAATATTAGGTATAATAGAAAATATGAGTGGGTGAGTTATGTGAACTCCTTAATGGATTTTTAAGTGTATCCAGTTAAAACCTGCACTTGGAGATGTTATAAAGCATTGAAACTCCATTTAATTATTTGTTTTGACATGTCAAAAAACACAATTAGGTATTTAATACTGGTTAAACTCACACTGACTTGGTTCTACTACTGCCCTTATGAAGAAAGAAAGCCGCCCAGTGCTCACTATTCAAACAGCTCTATTTAGCAGATTATGGCAAGCAATATGGCAATTTAGTGTTAGGGCCATGCAACAGTTTTCACACCAACCCTATGGGTGTAAATAAAGTACTAAATATCAACCGCCGGTTTGTATGTGAGGTGTGAGGTGCTTGCCACTTTCTAAAAAAATATTCTCGGTATTTGTTTGCATGATAGAGTTTGTAATAAAGACATCTGCACTAGAATAAAGGTAACTGACATAAAGTAATGATTAAAACGGTTCTTGTGCGGCAACCTCATAATGTCCAATTTGTATAGGAAGACCCCACTAGATAGTGAATCACCTGTGCAACAGTCCGATGGATGTAAGTGGCTCAGGATCATGCTTCATGGTGGTCTATGGGGGAGATCTATGTTCAATGGTGTACTCAAACGCACTGAAATGATGATTAAGCTGATGAAACCCATATTGTTATCTTGAGTGAGATCATTAATATTATTATTTATTGTAAATTTATATTTACTCATGTGTTCTTTAATGATTTCATACCTTTTTTGCCACAATCTAACAATAAATTATCTACCTGTTTGTTTCTTACAGAATTTTTGATCTTTAGGTTGTTAAAATCAATAATAAAACATACCTTGTTACAGATATCAATGTCCAAACTGCAATGAATGCACCAATATATTTTCAAGTGGAGGTGGAAAATCACTTGCGGAAATTGCTAAAATTCCTTTCCTAGGTACCTTACCTATAGATCCTCGAGTGGGGAAACTTGCAGGAATAGGTATTGCCGCAGTGAAAGAACTACCTGATTCAGACACAAGCAAAGTATTCAATCACCTAGCTACTCTATTATCTACAACAACACATAATGGCTCATGAGAAATCCCTTTGTTAATTGTACAGATTGTTGCCTAATCATAAGAAATCCTAATATTTAACATAGTGTTAACATACAATATTTCTAAGCATAAATTTATAAAGACATATAAGGAAATAAAAAAATATTTTAAACAAAGCAATGTTTGTCGAGTCTGAACCTCCTGTGTAAAATAGGGCACTTCTCAAAAAATCTCCCTGTATGTATAATAATTAAAGTTAATATAAAGCCAGTATTACTCATCATACTCAAGATAAGTACTGCATCACGTTTAGGTCAAATCATCATCAGTTAAATCAATTTCCATTATATTATAGACAAATACGATGTGAAACTACCGCACCGAAACTCAAATTACGCCAATTGGTGTAATTAAATTGCAATACTATAAACTGCTATCCTCATTCCGTATCATACGTTCTATATCATCTTTCACATTTACTTATTATGTCATGTAACGTAAAGCGGAACAATTTTTAAACGCAGAGTATGCGCGATATGCGTCATTTTTATTAAAACTTAATAATTTTTGTTAACTTTTCGTTTATTTCTATTACAACACACACGTACACAAATATTTAATACACCATAAAATTACTCACTACATACTGTATAAACAAATGTATACCTACATTTATTTCATGATATTACATTGCACCATGATATCATGTAGAATATATAATTGTGTATATTTAATTAGGCTATATAAAACAATAGTACATTTTATAAATACTGTATTTTATAATTCTCTACTTAATATATAATTGATTAAATTTATTACAAATTTTATTTTGATATGAATAAATATGTAAAACGTCAATATTAAAATATATCGCATATTTAAAACGGCTCCTTAACTTTCATTTTTATATTTCACTATAAAGTAAAATATATAAACCCACAATAAATTCGATGATATGACAAATTGTTACACCTTTTGATATGAAAAAATATTGAATAAAACGTTCATTTGTACGTTTTCTTATTCACACTCGGCGAATATAAAACTAATAGAGACGTAATTCGAGAGATATACTCATCTTTCTTACGACAAAAACACTAAAATAAACCACGCCCACAAACACTTCTGCACTGACCAAATAGCATAACAACGCTAGTTTTTCGTTATCCGAAAATAAATTCGTGAAAAAGTTTAAGACAACAAGGAATCCAAATCCAATGTTATGGAACCAAATTACACAAGTTCACCGGTTTAATATTGTAGCACCAGATATCGAAGGGTGGACAATTCGACTAAGTGGGCACTACGCACCCAGCACAACTCGATCTAAAAGCCGGTTTGAACCTCAGCCTAGACCGCGCTCGATTGTGCGAGTTAGTCAGAAGAAGGAATAAGGTTGAAATTGCAATTCGATCACGAGATACGCCTATTGTCGAACAATCGATTACGAAAATAATAAGCTAGTTTCGAAATTCATTACATAACTAGCGGACGAATAACATTACGACGTAATTAATTCATAAACGGCCTGGCATACCAGGATATTGTGAGTGGACTACTCACCAAACACAACGCGTTCGAACAACGCCGGCGAACGCTTTAAGTCCAGTATTTCGTTTGTAATTTAAGAAAACACGTATATAATTTAAATGAAAAGTGTGTGTGTACTTATGTACACGCGTTAGAAGTTATACATCTTCGTAACAAGACAAAAAAACCTTTTCAAAACTTTTATATTTCGCCTTTTTCTACGTTTGTAGAAAAAACGACAGTAACAATAGAAAAAAGGTATTTAATACATTAAAAGTTTTATTATAACATATTATCTAATTAAATAAAGTTTATTTAAATATCACAAAATAAATATCGTGAATACTGTTGTCAGTTCTCATTCTCATGCAAACATATGTAGACGTCTAGCTAACTTCAGGGTGTCGTAAGAATTTACTCTCATCATTTTTCCCTAACGCGCCAAAAGGAGTATAACTTCAAAAAGGTTGTTACGTTCGGTCCGAATGAAACACCCTAATTATTGGCTTCCCTTTAGCCGAAAGAAAGTGAGGAAAGTTGTTGATGACTGCATGAAAAACTATCCTCACACGACGTCGATAAATTGTGTAATGAGTCAATGACAATTCCGCATACGCTTGGACGCGTCATTTGCTTATCCAATCAGGACTTTTGTTTACTAAAAAACCTCATATTACGCCACTATTGGTTCATATACTCGCTGTTCACAGAACTTTTAAAAGACATAGATACTATCAATATTTCACGTTATCAATAGAGTTTTTGATTTTAGTTATTATAAATTTTTACTTACAAAACATTCATAAGAATAAGAAATATTCATAGATTCAGGGTAGCTCACTGGTATATTAGGTTTGGTCAGGTACGAGTTTACTCAGATCTATGTATTAAGTAACAGTAATATGAAAAGTTGTTATGCTGTTTAATATAAATAGCTCTTACTGATAAAATAATATTGTTAAAATTATTTAATAGAGGTACGTTATTACAGGTAGGTAATATTCCGGTTTGATGTATTCGAGATCGATAATCTAACTGGATTTTAAGTTAAAGGACTTTACCGCTTCCACTTTGCTCTCAAATTCTATTTACACCTTTGTACTCTTTACACATGAAAATTAATAACTCAATGGTATTGGCATAAAATAGGGGAAAAAATCTGCTGACGAATATCCTCGAAAGACAAAAATAACATTTATTTTTGCGAATTATTCATTTTGAATTCGTTTCGTTAATAAAGAGTTCATCAACAGCAGATCTTTTTTCATACGTCCACAAGCGGAGAAAGCTTACTTTACTTATTTATGAATTAAGTTAATTTTCATATAAAGTAATATCGAAAATAGATGTTTAATATTTTTTTTTATTTCAAGATTGATTTCAAGAAAAATGCCAGTTTCCTCTTCTATAGCGCGCTTCGGAAAAATCTTTCGTAATAATCTTTTTCAAATGAGAGCAAATGAAGAAAAATAATTGAAGCTACAATATCTAGAACATATGTTAATATTTGAACTAAGTTAACTTAACCTTTTCCCTAATCAAAACAATTATAAATAAGACCTTCTGCGAGTGCAAATAAGGTGCATTTTCATTTAATAGCTGCTGATGTCGGACTGGGCGTCATCGCCGAGCCACATGAACTGCCTGATCTCGTCCTCGGATGAAGGGCAGCAGTGCGGTGGGGCTTTCTCCAAGATTCTGCGCAGTTCCTGAAAAGATAACGCTTACTTTCGAACCGAGGATACGTGGTTAAAAACATCAAGTGTTTGGATTCATATCAGTCCAAACACATATATAATATGAGGTTAAATACTACAATATTACAAGAATCCCGAGTGATATAGTCTTCTAAACATAATTCAAATCGTTCTATTTCTGCAGTAGATTAACTTTAGGCATGTAACTAGGAATTGGTACAAACACTGGCGGAACGGACAAACATTGTCCTGTTGTCCTGTACACTCGACTTAAATCCGACAACAACTTATAAATAACAAAATTATAAAAGAAATAGTGGATCAAATTGTGAATCTAAGCTTTTCTCGAGTCAACACGAAGACACGCAAAAAATTTCATTAAAACCGGCCCAGCCGTTTAGTTTAGAAATACACACCCCTAGAAGAATTATATGTAAGTTATTATGCATGGTAGTGTGCGTAATGTTTTTTTTTATTGATTTAAGATATTTTTTGCATAATTAAAAAAAATATTAGCATTTTGCACTCACTCTCTATATAAAATATAAGTGTAGGAAATTTTACACTACTCCGTCCGCGCAATTTTTGTCAAAAGGGGTACAAGTTTTTGCTTCGCGTATTAATATGAAGAGAAAGAATTTAATAGGTATTTCTGGGATCAACTATTGAAGTGCTTACAGTGTGCCATGTTAAATTCTAGTGACGACCATCGAATGACAAAAAAATCTAGGAGAAGGGCAAATTAATAATAATCGATAAGTAATTTATTTAATACGTTAATAATAGTAATGGTATTTATTGACAATGTAATGTTATTGTACCATTTAAATGGCAAAGCACGATATTGGTGTCATACCTTCAGGGCATTTCTGTTCCGCTGCGAGGCCTCCACATGGTCGACGACGGGCGCGGGGTAGTCGCGCCCGATGATGCACTTGGCTCGCTCCTGCACCTCGATGGGCGCCTTCCACGGCTCGTATCTTAAAGATAACGTCACATATTACATAAAAATTGCACTTAAATGCTTTCATATTCCACGCGGCTGAGTGTTTGGATAAATGCATATAAGTTAAAGTATCTCCTCGTTAATACTACTCACCAGACGAAACGCATAAGTATTATACTTCACACTTTACGCCGGACTTCTGTGAGGTCGTGGTACTTACCCGGACGAGCCTGCACATTCGTGCATTTTCTCATCACTGGCACGCACATGTAATTGCACTATCATGTACTTATCACACGCACTCATATGTAAAAATACTCATCATCCACTCTCATATGAAAATGCGTTCAAGTATACTCATCACTCGCACTCATATAAGTTACTCAAGGATACTTATCATCCGCATTAATATACATGTGCACTCAAATGTACTAATCACTCGCACTCATACGCATGTGCACTCAAATATACTCATCACCCGTACTCCTATGTCCGTGCACTCGAGTATACTCATCACTCGCACTCATATACATAGGCACTCGTATACTAATCACCCGCACTCATATCTATCAGTGTGATTACCCACATGTAGTTGTCGGGCATGCGCGCCAGCTCGGGCACGTAGCGGCGCACGTACTCGCCACTGGGCTCGAGCCTACGCCCCAGCAGCACTGGGCACGCGCACTCGCTCGAGTCCAGCAGCGCCTCGAACGCGCTCGACGACACCCACATCCAGTTGCCGGCGCACACCGACCTGCGGCAGACCACTGTTATATGGTCATAGGCCTCAGCCAAGGCGCCCGATATAGGGTCTTACGTACCATTGTTACCAGCATGCGACAGACCATATAAGGTGTTAGGTATCATCGTTACCCGCCTACGGCAGACTGTCTGTCATAGACCTCTTCCTAGGTGCCGCAGATAAGGTGTTACGTATTCCGTAACTCATTCGAGTAACAACAGCCGCATTAACGCACCATGAAAAAACTGGACGTTTGTTTACAACGGGACAATGCAGCGCGGATGTGAAATATCTATAAATTTGGTTTAAAATATGTACACAGCATTATCTAGTCCCAAACTAAGCAAAGCTTGTATGGGGTAACTGATGAACATACTTGAACAAACCCAGGCACTAGGAAAACAATGTCATCACACAATATTTTTCCAGTAGTGGGGTTCGAAGCCACACTAAATGGCGCCTGAGTCAGGTTCATTATGCCTATTGGGGTCAAATATGTTGATCTTAGAGAAAGGTTCTCGAGTAGCAGCGTTCTTACTGGCCATCGCAGTGTAGGACGAACCCCACTAAACTGAGTGACTGAGTGACGTGATAACCACAGCCGAGGGTCATTTCCAATACCCGTAGGCCATCTTTTAATAAAGTGGGCCCCGGCTACCTCGTCCACCAGACGAAACGCACAAGCGTAACGCTACCACTTCACGCCGGTCTTCTGTGAGCTCGTGGTACCCCCGGACGGACCGGCCCATTCGTGCAACAGTGAAGGCTGTTGCGTTGCCCCACTCAGCGAGCCGCTAGCTCGTCCGCCTCCCTTATCCATCAAATTCTGACCAGTCGGCATCCAGAAGGTACTTGAGGAAATGCTCCAGGCCGTGCTCCCAAGAGAGCCAGAGCGTTCCCCGCGTGAGGAAGGAGGCGACGGTGTTCCTCAGGGCGTGGTGCAGCCAACCCTCAGAGCGGAGCTGCCGCATCGCCGCGTCGATGAACGGGAAGCCGGTGCGGCCCTCCTTCCATCTATAAAAGCCCAGCTCTCTTACATCCCGTTCGGTTCTGTCGTGTTGGGTGGTCTTTGTGACCGTGTGTATATTTTATGTGACGAGCAAGGGAGGGCGTTATGTTTATGCGTATCGGCCGGTCAGGGCGGTGACTGTAATACGAGTGTAATTGAAACGGTGTAATATGTAAAAAAGAAAACTTACATATAAGTTTGTTCTTAATAAAACATTGACCTTTACTTTAGGATAGCATTATCCTGTGTTGTAAGGACGTCTTCACAGATGTAAATTTCACGTGGCCAAACACCCCGATGCGAAACAATCGTGGGAATCGAACCCACGACCCCCGACGCCGAAGCAAATAACTAAGCAACTGCGCCACGGAGACATCAAAATTATAAGTGTTTAGTAAATTAAACACACACAAATTAACATTTAGGCCTGTCACTCAGAGAGCGTGAAGGAAGTGTTAGAATGTTCGAATCCGCCTAAAATGGTGCTCAAAGTCAAGATTCGTGCGATAAAGTACTATAATGAGTTACGCAAGCATTAATGTAAATTCGGAATCTTGTGAATCGTGGTAAATCGTGTTTTAAATCTCTTAACAGTTTAATTTAAATATTGATTAGCAATATAATATTGTCTTTTTACCTTTTCAGCTCGTCACCTTCGGGATTCTTCCATGGTATATCGAGACAAATGGGATTCCCAGCCATTTGTCCGTAGTTCGGATTGTTCACGCTCATAGTGTAGAAATACTCTCGCCATATCAGTTGACCTGCAAAGCATTTTGTAATGATGACAAGATATCTATACAGCGAAAACCGTTTAGATTTGGTAAAACTACTTGCCTGTTACCAACTGGGTGGCGGGAATGCGTCCTTGGTGAACCTGGTTGAATAAATCTTGAAGAGCCCAGTAGAATCTGTAAAAGAACAGTAGTGTCATCTAATTAATCTTTCTTCACTGTCGCACGAATATGTAGGTCCGTCCGCGTAAGTACGACGACCTCACAGAAGACCGGCGTGAAGAGTTATAATTCTGCGTTTCCCCTGGTGGGTCATGTAGCCGGGGGCCCATTTTATTGAAAGGTGGCAACGCATCTACAACCCTATGGATATGGATGCAAATGTCCATGGACGGCGGTTGTCACATAAACATCAGGCGAAACGCTAGCATGTTTGTCGCTTTCTCACATTAAAAAACAGACCTTTTAATATAAATTATATCCATAGACAGATTTTTGCATTTAGGTCCCTTGACCTCGTCTTAAGTGGAGTAATTGTTGATAGCAATTGAGTAAGAAGGCTGTTTAAGGAGGGCAAAGGCAAGCGTTGGTCTCTACCACCACAAGGACGCGGCCTTTCCCCCAGAGGATTACCACGGCGGGTTTCTGCTTTAGCGTGTTTCCAAGTGAATGCAGTAGCTGGAAGGCGACAACTTACTTAGTGCCATACCTTTGTAAAGTTATTTGTGTCGACGATCGCTTACAGCCGAACCAATTGCTCGTTTACCTTCTGCTTTACGAAATTCGGACCTACTTGCGAACGGAGAGACAGCCGAACCGTAGCGCCGGACTCAGCGAGATGGGTGGCCCGAGGAGGTCGGGACTTCCGTGCGTGGGCATGTAGGAGCCTCTGCAAACGCACGGATTTATCAAACGTCAAAGTCAAAATTTCTTTATTCAATATAGGCTTAATTTAAGCTAATGCTTTAATGTTTTTATCCGAATATTGTACATTGTTAAATGAAATCCTATGTAAAGGGCAGTGTTTTCAAAGAGAAGACTGCAATAGATCTTGTAGATCACAGTTGTCACTTACTACCCAACCCCGTACAAAATCCAAACGGTTGTCAGCGCTGGAATACCTGCAGAAGGTCGCGTATTCGACGCTGAGCCTCTGCTGCATCTGGCGCAAGGCGGTAGTTTCGCCGCCCACCCAGCGGATCATGCGCATATCCGCTTCCTCGGGGCACACACCCAGGTCTTCGGGCTTTGGCACCTGAAAAGAATCCCGCAATCTGAACATCTGGAAAACTTCTGCAAGTATTGACGCAGCAAAGTCTATAATCCAACCATTTGAATAGTGCAGTTAATACATGTGGAGTAAGTTGAGGGTTTTGGCACCTGGAATAGAATTCTGGAAACTTCCTTTAAGCTTCTAAGTCTTGTCGCAGTTGAGTCTATAGCCCATCGATTGAAATAGTGTATTGGGATTAACTTGAGTAACTTGGAAGTTGGCTAACATTTTATCGTGGTAAGGAATATTTGTCATAGCAACCCCAAAAGCTTTACGAAAAATTTAATGTAAAATGTTGAATTTGAACGGAAGATCTGTTTGGTTACGTATATGATCTAATTTTATAAGTATCCATGAATTATTTTACAACTAATGGAATAGAAAAAATGATGAAATTGAACTGTGTAGTAGCAGAAGTATATATTTTCTAAATTGTTTTACTTTTGGCATGTGTTGTATCGAATGCTTTGGAATAGACGTGAAATATTGGTTAATGACATAACCAATAGTTCTCAAACCAATAGAGGTACTGTCCAGTACCTCTATTGGTGCAAAAGATTTAGATGAAGAATATCTGGCGGACGTTGAGTAATCAATTTTTCCTAAAGTGGGCGATAGACCAATAAAGTTCGAGACACACTGATCTACGTCTACTTCTTACTTTATTAAAGACCGTGAACTCGCTGTAGAATCTCTCCGGGAGTACGCCGAAGTTGACGCTCCTTAGGTCAACGTCGGCGACGGGACGCGGAGGGTCACCGATGGTCGACACCGTATGCTATTAATTCAAGTGACTTTTGAATTAAAATAGAATAACATCAATAAAAATAGAAATAGATAACGCCCAAGCTTTAAATCTACAAATATCAGTGTAAGAATTTGTGAGGATGTGCGAGTTGCAAAAAGCTTGCTGTAATTATGCATTCAAGGACCATAATGAGACGCTAAATCGGGATAAATACATTATTGCTTACTTTAAACAGATCATTCCAAATCACTTAATAAAGTAGCCGGCAAGCGATCTGAAATTTCACCTGATGTAAGCAAAATAATACTTCTACATACACCGATGTTCTGTAAGACGGTGGTACTTTCCCAAACGATCCTGCCCATTCGTAAAGCATCAAAGGCTGTTGCATCCATCCCACAACACAAACTGTACAGTTGCTAACAACGCATTTACTTTGTATTAAAACGTTGCCCTTACTGTGGGATGCAGGCTTAATCCCGCATGGCCTTTCGAACAAAAGTTTACGTCTAGAAACACCCATATCAAAAATCATTATCTGTGGGCCACACGAACAGTTGTCCCGTGTGGGAATCGAACCCACGACCCCCGGAGCCAGGGCAATTACCTTGGCAGCTGCGCAATGGAGTCATCTACCTGCTAGCAGCGTTATTTTGAGGTTTTCTGAATATAAGTTTAACAAACGACTGTTGCAGTCAACGGTACACGCGTAGATCTGAGCCAACTTTTTCCAGGTGCTTTTATTCCTACTACCTACCAACTTACCTCCCAAAAAGATTGAACTCAACTTTGCCCAGGCGCTACTAAATGAAACTATGTTTTCCCAATCGCATTTATTCCTGCGACCTGCCGACCACTTACCTCCACCCAAAGAGAGTGAACTCACCAGGAACATCTGGTACGTGAGCGGCGGTATCCCCCCGTTGACCCGGATGACCGTGTCCGGTTCCCACAGCGTGTGCGAGACGAACTCGCAACAGGCCATGCCGACCTCGCGACAGACGGCCTTAACGGCGTCATCGCGCGGGCGCCATACCGGCTCGCAGTCTTGCTCGAAGCAAATCTTGCGGATGCCTGATGTCAGAACTAGTTCAGATCTTTGCGCTTAGTAGAGTGAGTACTAGTTCAGATCTTGTGCGTTTAGTAGAGTGTGAACTAGTTCAGATCTTGTGCTTTTAGTAGAGTGAGAACTAGTTCGGATCTTGTGCGTTTAGTAGAGTGAGAACTAGTTCAGATCTTGTTTTAGGAGAGTGAGAACTAGTTCGGATCTTGTGCGTTTACTGGTGTGCCAAGCCAGGAATGTCTACTCGTGAGCACAATGTCAAAGGCTCAAGCAAAAACCGTTTGTATGCGAAAAAGACAGTGTAGATAATAAAAGACGGTGAGATTTTCGCCGGTATGGCGATCAGCGGTTTAGCTTAGTGGTTAAAGTGTTCGATTCCCACGGCGGCGAAAAGCTTTTCGTGCTTTTTCCTACTTAATGTTTCATCTTAAGTTATCTTCAGAATTCGGACACAATTTCATGATGTACACGTTATATTCTAAAGTCATCTCATCCATTTCATCGTTGTCAGCGGAATGTCCCCTCTATCGCATTTATCGACCCTTTCCTGTTTCATGTTCGCCTTCATTCCGTCTTCATTTATAAAGTACTAGCGACCCGCCCCGGCTTCGCACGGGTGCAATGTATTATACAATCATAATAAACCTTCCTCTTGAATGACTCTATCTAGTAAAAAAATCGCATCAAGATCCGTTGCGTAGATTTAAAGATCTAAGCATACAGATGAACGCCTTTGTTTTATACTATGTAGTGATCTTATGTCCGTATTTTAACAAGAAAATAAAACATTAGTTAAATGGGCATTAGATTAAACTAATCAAGTAACTCGAAATGACTGCAATAAAAATAATATAGTAGAAAGTATTTGTCACAACTCACCGAATTCTTCCCAAAGACGCCTAAATATTATATCAGGCTTCCCCTTGATCATAAGCAGACGTCCCCCGTGCTTTTTAAATTGGTTGTCCAGGTCTTCGAGGGCCTCCAGGAGATAGCGCATACGGTTGTAGCCAACCACCTTCGTCCCTGTAACAGTATATCATGGACCTACTGTGCACTTACTATTAATTTACTGGACCATAAAAATAACGAGTCACATAGCATAATCTCCCAAAGTTGTTTCGAAACATCGCTGGTATAAATTGTATGTTTTGGTAGATTAGTATCGCTTATTATATTTCTGAAAAGACTTAGTTTTTTTTTTTATGTGAAAAGTTGCCAAGCGAGCAGACGGTTCGGACCTGATGTTAAGTGAATACCGCCGCCCATGGACATCTGCTACCCGAGGCTTGCAGATGTGTTGACAACCTTTTGAAAATTGGCTAGATTCATTTAACAACATGAGTTTAAAAATGTTATAGTTCCTTCTTTTTTAAACACTGCCCTTACTTTAGGATAAAACTATCCTGTGTTGTAAGGACGTTTTACAAACATAAATTTCACGCGGAAAAACACCCCAATGCGAAACAACTATGTGTGGGACGCACAAATAGTTGTCCCGTGTGGGAATCGAACCCACGACCTCCGACGCCGAAACCAATACCTTGACAACTGCGCTACGGAGTCATCAAGTTAAAGAGATGTTTTCTGATGAGACCACATATTGTTTTTATTATTGACATTTTTATGAACACACAGTAGATGATGAGTATAAATTATAAAGACGACCAGCAGACCGGTATCAACAAGAATATTTTCAAGTTAAGGTACCGTCCAGTTGAGGATCAATAATTGTGAGGGCTGGAATATCTTCTTTGCTCCTTTCCAATCGTCTCGACCCTTTGGCCTTGCGCAGAGATATTTCATCTCCGCGTTTTTTATCGAATCTAGCACGGGGAGCGCTCTGTGGAGCAACTTATTAATATCTGTTGCTGAATTTCACCACCGTACAACGCGTGAAACAGCTAAATGTCATCGCTACCACCTCGATGGTTGACAGTCAACGACTGTGCGTTTTTTAAGTAACTTTCTGCCGCGCAAACCAAGTTGTGGGATCAGTTGTCGTCAGGTATTTCCAGACCGATACGACTAACAGACCTTCAAGAAGAGAGCCTATTCCTTCCTGAAAGGCCGGCAATGCATTCGTGACTTCTGTGGTGTTGCGAGTGTCCATGGGCGGCGGTGAATACTTACCATCAGGTGACTCGCCTTCTCGTATGCCTCCTTTTCCATAAAACAAATAAAATTCAGAGTCGTACGGAGTAAGTGGTGATATAAAACGGGTCTCCGACGGTAATCAGATACGTTGAGGAGGTTTTAAATGATCATGTTGGTTATTTCTCAGTGCATATGAGAGCAAAATCCATTTTTATGAAAAATAATGCACCGCCCCATAGTGCTTATTTGACCAATGCGAATATTCAAGATGCCGGTATTACATGCATGAAGTGGCCAGCTCGCAGCCCAGACTTAAATTCCATAGATTATGTATGGGACGAGCTTGAAATGTGTTAGACAACGCTTTACAGTTCCTGCTACCTTACACGACTTGAAGGATGCATTAGTGGTGACAGTTTGTAAATCAAATATGGTCCTATATCATATATGGTCCTAAATCTTATTAAAATTTTGGTCTACAGGCCCTACAGCACACAACATCGCCGTTTACGGGGTCGTGGGGGAAATTAAGTATTAAAGTAACAAAAAAAATTTTACAAATTTTAATTAAAAAAAATCCTTTTTTTCATATAGTTTTTGTAGTTCTTCAGTTAAAATTAAGCAGTGTGCAAAACATCTATGTATTAATAAATCATCTACAACATACTATAGTTTAGCGAATATATTTTAGTTGTGTTTTTTATTTTCAAACTTATTGTTGACGAAATTTATTACACTTACAATGAAAAAATGTAGTCAATGCAGTTGTAATTCTGCTTTTTCACGTGCAAAAATCAATCTAATTTGATAACTACAAAGTACATAAATCAAAACATAACAGTTGCAGCCTCAAAGTCTATAAAATAAAAAATGATACTTCGATGAAATCAGCGAAGATGGGATGACTTCGTCCGATAGAAGGCATGATTATTGAAAGCTTGTAATAGCAAGTCGGTATGAACGCAGACTGACGATGATGAAAGAGAACACCTATTTGTGCGACCCACAGATAGTTGTTTCGCAACTGGGTGCTCCCTCGTGCAATTGATGTTTGTTACACGTCCTTACAACACAGGATAATATTATCCTAAAGTGAGGGCAATGTTTTCTTTTAAAAGAAAGAAAAGAAAAAGAAACAAAGAAAAGAAATATTACCGGCAGTTTCCCCATCGAAGATGAAGACCGGAAAGAATGGCTGATTCTTGTCTTCCAGCGCCCTGTGAAGCGCCGGGTTGTCGTGAAGTCTCAGCCCGTGGCGGAACCATAGCACGCTACCACCCAACATATTATCGAAATGGCTCGTTTAGGGATTCTGCAAAGATGAAAGAAAGAAATAAAGAAAATAAATTTATTTACAAAAAAAATTACAAAAAATAAAAGAAATAAAAAAAAGGTTAAGATCATCATAAGATTAAGAATGTGTGTCTCGATCTAAGCATATCTGTGTACTCAGATCGAGAAACAATTAACAAGACTCCATGGCGCAGTTGCCAAAAAATTGGCTTCGGCGACGGAGGTCGGGGGTTCGATTCCCATACGAGGCAACTATTTTTGTGACCCACAGACAATTGTTTCGGCTCTGGGTGTTGGTCCGCGTGAAATTTATGTATGTAAAACGCAACACACGATAATGCTATCCTCCAGTAAGGGCAATGCTTTTTAATAAGAAACAAAAACAGACAATATAATTCACGTCTTCCGGAATCGCGTCCCGACGCATTAACCACTAAGTTGAACCAGTGATTGCCACACAGACGAAAATGTCAACTTATTTTATCTACATTAAATGAGTTAACCGGTCAACTTAAACATTCATACGAAACAAGCCAAAACTTAACAAGTAAACTCTTATTTTAGCGTGTCATTTTATGGCTTCACGTACCTAATTGTGTGAAAGCATAAAATGAACATCGGTATTTTCAATAGAACAACGCTTGGTAATTCGCAATGTGTTCTGATTCATGAATAAGTAAACTCCAACGTAAATGGGTCGCGACTCAACTCAACAGGTAAAAACTGTAATCTTTCAACAAGCCTATGGTTTCTGATTACGCAACGCTTTCCTCGTACATGCATATGTGTGAGTTCATACTAATGCACTAATGAATACGATGCGAATGTGTATGAGTTCAATTGCAAAGCAATCAGATGCACTGGCATGGAAGTACAATAAACGATAGATGTTATTTTTATTGTAGACTAGCGACCCGCCCCGGCTTCGCATGGGTGCAATGTATTATGCATATAAACTGTCTCTTGAATCACTCGTATCTAGTAAAAAACCCGCATTAAGATCCGTTGCGTAGTTTTAAAGATATAAGCATATATAGGGACAGAAAGACAGCGGGACGATCTTTTTAAACGGTTTTATTTAGCTCGACACGTACGGAATTTATTTGTTTATTTGGGTCAAAATTAGAAACTGAAATTTAAGCCCCTTCCCGTTGTCAGATTGATCTGAAATTTGGTACACACATTTAATTTAGATGACAATACAATATTGTAGTTTTCAGTGCACAAAAAAAAAAACAGAAAATAAAACCGTTTAACTTAAAAGTTTTTAAACGGTTTTATTTATACTATGAAGCATAATAAGTATTATATATATTTTTTCTTTCATAAAAATCTTCTGATAATAACTAACACAACAAAAAAAGTGAAATCAGTCCAGCCGTTCACGCGTGATGGCGTGACCAAGGGAAATAGGGATTCATTTTTATATATATAGATCCATGGTTAGGTTATGCAATATATATGTATAAAGACATCAACAATTCTCCGTCTTTTTGCACTCTTTTTTTGTGGTAATTACCTGTTGATGGGGTTTGTATAATCGGAAAAATTATGTTCCCCTACACTTATTATGGTATTAATTATATAGCATTGTCATCATCAACATTAAAAAAAAATCTCCGCCTTAAAACGCTAAATTGTAAGTACATACTAAAGTATATAGTCTCTGATACACTAATGTAATAGAAATAAACTTAATAATAAATTTGCATCAAATTTGTAATATCGATTAGTGTCGCAATTCGACGACTGAATGGACACTAATTATAAGAATAGTGAAAGGAACGGCTCCTTTCCCTTATATTGTGCAAGTGAAGAGGGTATCAAAAGTATCATATACATTTTACGGTCAGCACATGGATTAGATTGGATTACAAACCAGAGGGGAACTCTAAATTGAATAGACTCACGTGACACTAGAGCGTTTGTAGCGATGCAAATAATGTACCTAGTAAACATATGTGATGCATTCGTAACAATGAAACAATTGCATATACATAATATACATTCACAAGTTACTCCGATAAATCGGTCTCAAAAATTATAACAGACAAATGGGAAACGTTATCCCGACTATTTCTAAGTTTTTTTTTTCGTAAATTTTAAACGATACAAGAAGTTGGTATGATTATTTCAGAAAGTTTTTTGAACGACCGAATGAATCATCGAAACGATCGAAGCCGGCAGGAAAGGAAACACGTGACGGGCAACATAAAGGCCCATTTACACGGTGCCAGTTTCTTGCCTGTTGTATACAATTAAATTGAAGCAATAAATGAGTTGCATGGTCTAAACAATTATTGCGCGCAATTTATTGCATTCAATTATTGCTCTTGTATGTTCAAGAAAATGGCATCGTGTAAATGGGCCTTTAGTTTCTCGTTTTTTATTTAGTTTCAGAATAACCCCTGGGTCATAATAAGACGATTTAAGAACGCTATATTTTACGTATCAACTGAAAATGAAACTATCATTTTCGGTTCATACGACTTGTACCTTCATAATACTTAACACGAACTTACGAAATGAATTAAGGAAAGTGAAAAGATTGCCATAATTTTAAAAGATATTTTTAGACAGCCACCGGTCGACTATTTATGAAACGTTGTATTTGTGCGCCGAAACGTGATTACGAACAAATGTATCTCGCTACCTACTTCAAACGAGTGAAGGTTCAAAACGTAGTCGACAGAACACCTGTCACTGGCACATTGGAAGAACCACCCAATGTGAGCTCGTCGTTTGCAGTTTCTGCCACGAGTTCCGATTAAGTTTATATGAAAACTGCCATTCTGATTTCTTGGTTTAAAAAGATTTTATATAACGAACAGCCATTCATCAAGCAAACATGTCACAAACACGTCATACTTGATTATTATTTAATATTATTCTTCAATAATAACAATGAGAAATTTTCCCTGTGTTAAATTATTTTTTACTTCACTTTACCAAACATTTCCACGAATAGAACGGACTGGAGATTTCCTTGACCGGGGTAAGGCCCACCCGCGGCTGTTATGCCTCAGATGATGACGATCATGATGTTACTAATCATTTCTCAAATCACTACCACATTAAAAGCCCGCGGTACGCAGCAGCATCGACTGTTGCACGAATGGACAGCCTGAATAGACGACCCACCAGAAGACCGCCGTGAAATGGAAGTATTACATTAAATTTCGTCTGATGATGGGCGAGGTAGTCGGGGCCCACTATTTTGATGTTGGCAACTCAACTGTAGCCCGTCCGGTGTTGCAGGCATCAATAGGCAGCAATAATCACTTAATATTGTTCGTATACTTTATTGTTATAAAGTTCCACTCGATCCACGTGAACCACTAACATCCACAAAACCGCTGGGAGTATATATGCGTTGCCAACTTTTAAACGATTGGGCCCGGGCTACCTCAGTTCACTGAACGAAACGACAAAGATTCACTTCACGGGCGTGGTATTACCCCAGGGAGCCTACTCATTCCTGCCACAGCAGAGTGGGTCATACCACAATTTATGAGGATGTTGGACGCATTGACTGCTTCTCTAACACATTTAGGATTTCCTTGCCTCATTTTGCTTGTTTTTATTTCAAAGCCAGAGATCGGTTCGATCTCCACTACTCAAAAATATTGTGTGATGAACAGATAGCGCTTTTCTAGTGTCTAGGTGTTTATATATCTAGAATATGTATGTATTTACAAAAGAAAATTACGTTTTAATATGTTTATTAGTTTTCTAGTACCCATAGTACATGCTTTGCTTAGTTTTTGACTAGATTACGTTGCGTAAGATTACGTCCCGAAATATTTAATATTTGAAGCAGACCTGACTAAAATAGTTATTTTAAAAATATTTATAGAAATATCAGAGCTTAGCAAGCGTCAAAGTAAAACCGCAAACAACTTTTTTGTTTATTCCAACCCGGCGAAGAGGTAAAAAACTAATAGGAACAGGAACACCGAATTATCAAAAAGTTTGGATGTAAATGGGAACCCATTTGGACATTTTCAATAATAAATCAACATATAATATTATTTTAATTTCAATTCAATTAAAATAATATCATTTAATAATTTGTCAATATACGATTTTAGTTATTAGTATAAAGTAATATATTAATAGATAATAATAGGCGACTTCGTATTTTTGATTCGACAGACTATCGCTCCATAAGAATGCTTTGGATCGAACATGTTTTATTATTTCAAATAAAATGTAATCAATAATTTCAAAACAATAGATGTCGGAAGCAGAATACAAACCGAATTTGCAAGTGAATTTAACGCGAGCGCTCTGACACTGACAATGATGAGCTGCCATCAATGAAACGCTTTATTAATAGTACCTGGAGGACCATGTATTTTGGAAATAAAAAATCAATGATCTGGTATAAAAAAAGTAAAAAAAAATTAGTGTGTAAATGATAATGTACGTGATACGAACCGCGGCCGTCTGTTTTGGGGCCGCCCGATTACCGACCGAGCTATTATAACTTTTTTTTGCGGCGAAATTTACCGTCATATTCGAATGATATTTTTCATTCCATGAAAACAGGGATAAAAGAACATTTTCTAAAAATGAAACCTAGCTAGATCGATTTTCCCCCGAATCTACGCACATACTAAATTTCATGAAAGGATAAGATTAATAAAACTTATAGGATAGAATAGATAAACATAATTTGCCTATCACTGGGTATAAAATTAAGTAGTACCTATTCATGTAACTGTTTGAAGCAGAAACGATTAAATTTAAACGATTCGCACAAAAAATACAAAACCGCGATTGCAAGGGAGTAAACTTTGTAGGAAACTGTTATACTTATACTAAAAATTTTATAATTGAAAAAAATTACACCCATAAAATTTTTCGACTTTCGACAAGTATTTACAAAATGAAACATTACTAAAGGAGACAGCAATAGGACTCACATAAAGCGGCTTTGAAGAGGCTTTGAAGTTGATCAGGTTATTATTGACTACCTCTGTTCACAAGTCCGCACGGCTTGGTAGCAGAACGTAG